TCTTTTTGAGAAAAAGACATGTTGTTGGTTCACTGTTTAAATTTATACTGTCATTTTACTATACTATTCTTTTAATTTAATAAAACAATCAAAACATTTTCTATATATGCCTTGATTAATTTCACGATCTTTATCAATTATAATAAAATCATGCTTATTTTTCTAGCAAGAACTACAAAGTTCTTTAAATTTTGTAAATGACATGTCAGTATTAACATGTTCATCATAAATGTGTCTAAGTTTCATTTCGTCTTGTCTAAATAAAACTAATAAATTAACATTGTCACGTATTAAATGTTTTGGAATGCGCGCATAAGTCTGACATAAATAAAAGCAATCTACAGCTTTATGTCTTCCCATAGCAAAAAAAGCTTTAATATTATCTTGTTTCTCACATGCTACATCGTCAAATATAAAAACTGAGTTAGGTAGCGCATTACTTGGTGCTACAACGTCAGCATTTTCATTAAATGGAAAGTAACCTACATCTTCTACAGGTTGCAAAATGTTTTCTAAAAATTTGTATTTTGGTTGATATAACGATTTTGAGTAAACATAAACATTTTCAAATCTTAATCCATTGGGATGTATTAAAAGAGCAAGTAAAGCGTTTGTCTTTCCACAATTTGAAGGTCCACAAAATATTGCTCGCACACTATTTGGCAATAAATTACCATGACGATTATCTGTTTTTTATTACAATCTTGAACAAGAGTGTCAAAATTGTAGACTGGCAATTTAATCGATTGTGCCTCAAACTCTATTCTTACGATAACTGAGGTTAAAACTATAAATACAAGGTTTTTAATAGTTTTAATGTCAGTTCACTTTAGACGCTTATAACGCTTGCATGCAAATCTAATAATGGGGTCCATGCTACTTTACAGCATCTGATTGCTAGGTCTAGTTTTTAGGAGATGTTTGAGATTTGGTGTCGATAGTCAACTCTTTCATGCTTTGGGCAAGGTCCACGTTTCCTACTGTCGGAGGCAACTGGGATAATTGACTATTACTGTGATAATTGACTATTACTGTCATAATTTTTTTGTTAGATCATTAAAGGTTGACTGTTTGTAGTCAAATGACAAAAAACTATAAATACATTGGTTATATAGATTCCCACTTTAGTCTTAAAAAAGTTTTGTTCACGAAAAGAATATAAATATGGGTGTAAATAAAAAAAAAACTAGTTTAAAGAAATCTTTGAAAAGAGTAAGACGAGGTAGAGGTATTTTGAATAAAATTATCAATAAATTACTTTTCGAACTTCATATACCTGGCTATCAATACTGTGGTCCAGGAACAAAATTAGCGAAGAGATTAGCACGAGGTGATCCAGGAGTCAACCCTCTCGACGCTGCTTGTAAAGAGCACGATATTTCTTATTCGAAAAATAGGGAAAATATAGAAGCGAGAAACGCAGTTGATAGAGTACTTGCCGATAAAGCTTGGCATCGAGTGTTTGCTCCTGACGCAAATTATAGTGAAAAAGCTGCAGCTTACGCAATAACAAATGCAATGAAGGTCAAATCTAAACTTGGAATGGGAATTATTATTATTATTGCTCATTATGAGGTGCATGCGCAACAACCATATACCTCAACATTCAACAATAGCGATGAAATTCGCATTACTGTACAAAACCAGGATCATTGCTTACTTCCAAGCAAAAGCTCGATTCACATAACAGGAAAGCTTGTGAAACCTGATGGAACAGCTCTTGAGCGTACAAATTTAATTTCTAATGGAATATGCCATTTATTTGAGGAAGCGAAATATGAACTTAATGGTGTAGAAATAGATAAGAATAAGAATGTAGGTCTTACAAGTTTAATTAAAAATTATATTTCTCTTGATGCCAGTCAAAATAAATTTTTTGAAAATGTTGGCTGGTTAGAATTTACCGATGAACCAACCTTAACAAATGCTCAAGGTTATTTTGATGTTTGTATTCCTTTAAGTATGATTTTTGGTTTTGCAGAAGATTATCAAAAAGTAATTATTAACGCTAAACATGAGCTTATTTTAATTAGATCAGGAACTGATAATAATGCAGTTTTGCGAGTAGCGCCTTTAGAAGAGTATAAAATTGTAATTGAGAAAATCGAATGGTTATTACCATACATAAAGTTATCAGATGCTCGAAAATTTAAATTATTAAAATATATTGAAAAAGATCCATCAATTCCTATCAGTTTTCGAACTTGGGAATTGTATGAATGTCCACTGTTACCAATTACTCCTAAGCATATTTGGAGTGTAAAAACTTCAACACAATTAGAGAAACCAAGATTTATTGTTTTAGGTTTTCAAAGAAATAGAAAAAATAATACTGTTCGTAATTCTATCCATTTTGATCATTGTAATTTATCTGATGTAAAATTGTTTTTAAATTCGCAATGTTATCCCTATGGTAATATGAATCTTAATATTGGTAGAAATCAGTACTCAACTTTGTATGAAATGTTTACTAATTTTTAAACTTCATATTATGGTAAAGAATCACAACCAATTTTAACTAAAAAAGAATTTTAAGAATACGCTCCTTTAGTTGTAGTGGATTGTTCTAAACAGAATGAGTCATTAAAAAGTGGTACTGTAGACATTCGCTTGGAATTTGAATCACAAGATAATTTTCCAGCAAATACTTCAGCCTACTGTTTAATTTTGCACGATAGAATTATTGAGTATAAACCAATAAGTGGAATTATGAAAAAAATTTGTGTAACTTCAAAAATGTATTAAACAAAAAAAATTTGTTTGTACTATTATAAATAAATTATTAGTAACTAATTATTTGAAAGTCAATTTTATTTAATATTTCATAAGAATCAGTCCACATATTTTTCTCCTTTTTCCAAAAAAACCTATTTTTCCAAACATTCAATTTTTTCAAATTTGCAAAATTTTTTTTTTTTGCAAAAATTCCATTTTTAAAAAAAATTAACTTTTTTGTTAACCTGTAAAGTTTTATTTGCAAAAATCTAGCTATTAAATAATAAATTTTCTAATTTGAAATAATTTTTGGAAAAAGTAAATTAAAGGTTTAAAGGTTAATTCTATTTAATATTTCATAAATAGGGGAACATAGTCTAGGTCGGCCACCTTTTTGACTTTTGTTTATAACTTTTTTTTAAAAATGAATTTGGACAATTGAAGTATATGGTTGGAAAAACCTGTTTAATAGGAACATTTTTTCTGTACAAAGTAAATTGACAGGTTTAAAAATGAAAAAGTTATAAAGATTAAAAAAAAAAAATTTGTAGTCCAGGTTGGCCATTACAGTCAAGGTCGGCCATGTTTAAAATTCAAAGGGCATTAATCGTTAAAAAAGAAAATTACATGTTTGGAGTTACGGAAAATTGATTCTTTATTGTTTACAGTTTGTAACTTAATGAAATAACAAAATAATAACAATAAACAATATAAAAAAATAAATATAAATAAAAAAAAGTTTTGCACTAAAATATTAATAAAATTAAATAAAAATATTAATAAGATGATCAATTATATTATGAGTTATACAGAATTGCAGTTTTTGCAAATGAAGTAGCTCTAACAAATATAAATGCACAAATCGTTGGTTGGAAAATAATTTTCATGGAATTTTTTGGAATGATGGTGATATTCCATATGTATTTTTGAAGAAAATATTAAATTGTATTTTGAAAAATGCAAAAACGATTTTTGTAAAAGGTTTTGAGAAAAAAAAGTTGTTGAAAAATTTACTTTCTTTCGAACATAATAATAATATCAAAGTCATAGACATGAATGATTTAAATTGTCCTTCGATAAAAAATTTAGTTGATAAAACAGCACCTAAAATTTGTTTTAAACATTCTAATAAAATGAAATCTTTTACCTGCGCTCTTCACAATATTATGTACTTAAAAAGTTGGTTGTGTAAAAATTATAATAATAATAATTATTTTGAATAAATTAAATATATTCTATTATAATTTTAGTTTTATTTATTTATAGAGAAAATTAATTAATAATTACTTGCAGTTTACCTTAAAAAATTATTAAATTTCTTTTTCATCTTTTAACGCAAGCTAGATAAAAGTTCTCTATATATCTCTATCAAAACATAAAATGAAAAAAAGAGAAACAGAGAAAATAACAAAATTAAAAGAAATTTATACTTACCTATATTTTAAAGTCAAATTGTTGTGCTGAATTTTTCTAATTATTAAAGTATTTAATATTTTAGTAAAAGAAGTTTTAAATTGATATTTTATAAACAATTTGTAAAAATTTAAAAAACGACTTTTATCGATTAAAAATTTTTTTTTTAATTTTTTGTTAGATTATTATATAGGGTAAGTGCGGGTATAGTCGGACAGTACAAGTAGTCGGACACTTTCGTGTTTTTTGGCAAATAAATAATAATGCATTGTGATAATTACTTTAAAAAGTATACTAGACGAATGTGTGAAGTTTATATTTTATTAAAATAGTGTTATTTTCGAAAATAATTTAACAAGAAATATTTTATTTAATGTTTTAAAAATCATGGTGTCCGACTATAGATACAACCATTTTCGAGTAGCGCGATGAGTGGCACAAAGTTTTGTTGATAATTAATCATAAATATTAAAACTTATAGGGTTTAAATATTATATTAATAACTTCTAATATGCTTTAATTCCATTTTCCAGCAGATAGCAATTAAAAAATTATCTTTTTTACTTTATAAATTCTAAATATCTGACAGATGTCCGACTATAGAAACAAGGGAAAAAAGTGTCCGACTACTAAAGCATTCGTAATTTTTTATTAAAATGTTTATATTTTATTAAATACTCAACTATTTGTAACAGATTTATATGATTTTTAATCCTGAAGAACTTCTTTAATTAATAATGTGCTTATAAACACAGTAGATATTTGCTATTTCAAGAAAAAAAGCATAATTTAAGATTGTATCCTTAAGTGTCCGACTACTAGTGCATTTACCCTATATATTTTTACTATTTTTTTATATTTATTTAATCATATTAAAAAAAATTTTCCACTTTTTCCGATTTTATTACTCTCTCCACGTCTTCTGCTTCTTCCTCCTCTTCTTCTCCTCCTCCTTCTTCTTCTTCTTCCTCTTCTTCAATTGGGGCCTCAATTGCGGGAAATCTGTTTTCATCTCTTCTATTAAAATGAATTTCCGTCTCAGCCATTACTTCATTTCCTTCGGCCTCTTCTGCATGTGAATTTTGGTTTGCCATTTCGGGATTAATAATATCGAAGTCGAATCCATCCCCTAATAATGAAGATATATCGGTCCGTCTTTGTAAAAGGAAAGTATAGTGGTTAACTTCTTTGACTTCAACAACGATGTCCATGTGCTCTAAAAAGTACTCGTCGCCGTAAGCCGGATTGTCATTGAAAAGACTATAGAGCCTTACTCCTGCCGCCAATATCAAATAATCAATTAGAGTTTGCAGGTCCATGCAGTAATCCACCCACTCACTTGGTACGTGAAAAAACACGTAAAACCCTACGTAATTCTGTTCATTCTGAAACAAAAAAACAACAATAAAAGGTTAATAAAAAATGTTTTTTTTAAATACAAATAAATAAAATTATTAAAATATTATTGTTATTAAGAAAAAATATTAATTACTGTTAATAAATATTTTTTAATATATCTATATCATTTTTGAAAAAAGGATAAACTAAATTAATAAAAAATTAAAAGATTATATTATTTAAAATTACTAAAAAATTTTATAAAATTAAAAATTAAAAAAAAATGATAAGTTTAAAAAATAAATAAATAAAATTTTTCAAATATTATTGTTATTAAGAAAAAATAATGAAAAAAAATATATAAACAAAAAATATTAATAACTGTTAAAAATATGTTTTTGGTTTTTAAGAAAGGATGAACTAAATTAATACAAAATTAAAAGATTAAATAAATACTTACTAAAACCTCACTATAGTTTGGGTCCACCCTTCTCAGCCAATAGCCATTTAGAATAGCATGATTCTCGCTTTGATGTTGTCGTAAGTTAGAAAAACAGGAGTGCAGCTCTCAGTTACACCATTAAATAAATCTCGCGCTCACATCGCAAATCCAGTAAGGCATATTTCTTTAAATTGGTCTATGTTGACACAATTATTTAACCATAGTTTTGGAGCTTGTATTACAAGTTGCACTTGTCGATAACCTTCCATTTTTAAACTAAGAAAAAAAGGAAATTTTTTTTTATTATTCCCATAAAATTAAAAAAAAAACCATAAAATTGTCAAAAATTAATGCTTTTTAAAAAATATAAATCTTTAAAAAAAATTAGTAAATAAAAAAAATTAAATAAAGTCAATAACATTTTTTATAATACTAAAAGAAAAAAAATTATAAAAAGCAAAAATTTTATTTTAAAAAAATATTATTACTTATTATTATTACTTTATTGTTAGAGTAAATTAAATACATAGAATTGTCCAAAACTTAATTTTTAAAAGTTATTGTAAAAGCAGTTAGTTAACAACAATTTATAATGAAATTAAAAAAATAACTGAAAATTTTTTAACAAAAAAAAATTTTAAAAACTAATATGCTTTAAAAAAATATTTTCTAAACCTTAAATAAATTTAATATTTTATAAAAATAAAATCTAAAAAGAATTCTAAAAAAAAATATGATCAAAATTAAAAAATTAACCTATTAAAATTTTGTTTAAAATTATATTTTTAAACAGTTATTAAAAAAGAAGAATTATTTCTTTAAATGCTGAATGGAAAATTAAATTCAAAGATTTTATTAAAGACAAATAATCAAATTTCCAAATTAAAAAAGTTGAATGTAAAAAACATAAATAACATTTTCCTAAAAAATTTAAATAGAAAAAAACAAATGATTGAATAAAAAAATAAAAATTTAAAAAACTTTTCAAATTCCCAAAAATTTTTTCAACTTTTTTTATAAATTCTCAAACCAAAATTAAAATTTTTTTTTTCAAAACGATTTAAAAATTTAAAAAAATTATTATGAAGTAAATATTAATTGAAAAAATATAACATATCTAAAAATTAATAATAAAAAGTGTAAAATTTATTTTTTATTACAAAGAACTTTTTAATAAAAAAACATTTTATTATAATGTAAAAAATTTATTTTTTTAAAAATAAAGCTAAAATATGATACTCACGTTTTTTTTACAATTAAAAAATGAATTCATTTCACTTTAATAAAATTGAAAAAATCACTTAAGATCACGTCACTTTACTGTTCTTATTAAAGAGGTCACTTCATTAATGATTTTGCCTATGGAACTGAGTGGTATTTATATGAGGACCATTGTTTATAAATTGGGGAAGAGAGATAGAATATTATATGTTGAAGAGAGAAACGAGATGTGTGATAACGCACACGCGTGCAAAAAAGGCTGAGACGCACTATGACTAATATGCTTATATGTATGATATATGAAATAGAGGTAGAAAGAAAGGAAAGACATTAGAATTTATCCAAATGTTTTTGTTCTTTTTTTACTTTATTATATATATAATAAAATTTTAAATAATTATTGCTTTTTATTTTTGTACCCCCAAGGAAGCGTATCGGTATTTTTTGGTAAAAGTACTCTTTTATCATCATACCAATTTAACGCTTCCTTTTTTGTTTCAATCGTAAAAACATCATGCTTTTTACTGCAAATAGAATACTGCTTTTTTGTCAAATTTTTATATGATAAAAGTGTTTTCTTATAATCTTCAAATGTTATTTCTTTTAATTTTGAAGATTTAACCCCTTTAGCTTTTTTTTCTACTTTTTCTTGATTTAATAACTTATAGGTATATAACTTGGATCCCAATCCAACAAATTCTGTAATTATTTTCCCGTTACACTCATCTTTCATTAATCCTAAAACTTTATTATTTTTTAAGTGGTATACCATAGCAATTGTTTATAGGGTAGTCAGATGTGTCAAAATGGTGTGAGTCTCGTTTAATATATTCGTAAATATTTGGCACTTTAATGTGATAGATTAAACTATCAGTATCAGTATATAATAATTTCGCTTCATTAGAAAATGTCTTTTTAATATAGTTATAATGAAAATCATAGAGGTAAAGTTTTGAAATGTCAAGAATAGTAAACCCAACATAAATAGGTTTATTAAAATTAATTTGAAGCTTATTCATTTCTATTATAACTAAGTCCTCATTGAAAATTTGACAACTGTGGAAATTCGGTTTAGAGATAAGAGCTTTCGCCCCATATCTGCCTTCCCATTTTGTAACAATCCTAATATCTTTATGTTTTCTAATGTTTTCCATTGTTTTCCCAAAAACAGAATTGATCATTAATTTATAAAAGTTTTTTTCAAATATATTTGTAGAATTTTTTCTGTATTCAGTATTTAAATCAATATACTGTTTGAGCCATTGAAATTGTTTAAATTTTAAAACTCTGTGAATTTTCTTTAATTTCATTCCTAACTGTAAATAATATTTTAAGTTTTTATAATGAATAATGTATTTTGTTTTTGAAAACAAATGAGGTATCAATTTTGGTAATTTGCTACCTACAGCAGGGGGGATAAAATGTTCCGGACATAAAGGTAAATCTTTATGTAAATCATGAATCTCTTCAGGATATTCTAAGTCAACTTCTAAAATATAACCATAAGGAGAATTATCTTCAATTTTTAATACATCAAGTTCTAATTCATTGGATTCCCATTTAAAATCAGAATAAGGTAAAAAATTGCTCATTCCTGCACCATATAAGTTGTTTATGTCAAAATACATTATATAGGATTCTTCAATTTCTGAATTAAAATCTTGTCCCATAAATCTGTTATTTGCTTTCGCATACCTATTTGAACATTGTGAAATTCCTCCTCTTATACCTTTCTCTATAAAAAGTAGCATTTCAATATCCTGTAATAATTCTAGCTCTATTTTCGTTAACTTTAACATTGCATCAAAAGCAAGTCCTGGAGCTGTAAAATAATGTAAGGGATCTAAATTGTATGCAGATAAACACGTTTCTCGAAAATTTTCAAAAATATCAGCTAAAAGTAAAACGTCGGTTTTTAAATATAAGTCTGAGTATTCCCCCAAATTATTCAAATGAAATGTTTTCCACACTTCACAGGCATGCTCATAATCCTCATTTGATATATTTGAATTATTTAATTTAGAAAAAAATTCTTCTATTGGGGGCAATTGATTTTCTTCCAATTTTTGCCAACTATTAATATATTCATATGGAAAAACTCCCTTTCTATTTAGTAAATTAAATTCAGCAATATTTCTACAATATTTTGCAGTAATATTTTTTTCTGTATTATTTAAAAAGCTGGCTAATTTATCTAAGCTACTGGGCATAAATCTAAAAGAGTCTATAAATCTGAAATTTACATTCTTTCCATCTACATATTTCGTAAATGAAATATATTTTTTTTTATTAATAGGCAAAAGTTTCACAGGTCCTTCAAAACTAGTACACAATTCTTTTATAAAAAAGTGTGCATCATATCCCGATAAATTGTGAAAAACTACAGGAACTGAATGAGAATTCTTATAATTAATATTACAGCCCTGATGAGCAGCGCCCCTATATTTTCCAGAAAAATGTCAATGATCTCGATGTCTTATTTCATCTTCAATAAATGGAGTTTCACAAATATGACAGATTTTCGCAGTTTTAAATTCGAATTCTTGTTGGCTAGATAAAGTTTCCATTGGTACTATAGTTTTTCCATATGAATCTATCATGTCGGCAATATTTATTAATTTTTGAATAAACCATGCAATGCAATTTTCCCCTCTATAACTTTCAAAACAGGATAATGAATCGTCAAAATTACATTTTAAATAAAATGCAACACTTGTTGGAATATGTTTCCTATAAGCCCCAGGAATTAATTTATTTTTATTATTAATAGGTTCTAACAAACTTTCAGTATCGGCATACAATACAAAAGGAACCTTTTCTTTGAATCTAAAATTTTTAAATTTCAAAATACTGTCATTTTCTGTCGGTAAAACAACTTTACATTTATTTAAATTAGAACAATCAGATTTATGTTTAAGAAATGAATTTTCCTGGTTAAAATGATTTAAACATCTATCACATAACCAAGTTCGACAATTATATTTTGTCATTTGTGATTTTATCAATCGTGACAAATTACGAATCCACGCAAAGTGATAGTTATTATTGTTTGTGAGATTATAAATATCATTATTATCATATGTATCCATTGTACAAAAAGTTTCCAATTTTTTTATCATTAATAAATGGATGGTATCTTTTTTGGAAAAATTTTCACTTAAATAGAGAGGAACAATCTCTTCTTTATTTTTACCCACCTTTTCTAAACCATAAATATTTATTTTTAAACTATTCATTTTTTCGAATTTAGGAACATCTTTTAACCTTATTGGAAAACTTATTCCCTCATACTTTAAGATATTTTTAAAATTAGGGTAAGAACTGATTAAATTTGCATTATCCTTAACAGGATACAAAGCTGCCATTATTGACCAAAGAAAACAATGCTCATCAGTATTTTTTATATTCACAACAGCCTTTTTTTCTCTTATAAATTTCGGTATTTCAATATTTTCAGAACAACCCACTTGAATTGGAGCATGTCTATTAAAGTTTACCATTAAATTTAATATCTCTTTTAATGACCAACCTGACTTTTTTCATTAAATTCCTCAACTTCTTTAAGAATATAATCATTCATTTTATTTAAAATTAAATCTAAGTCTGAGAAGGGGAAAATAATTTCATTTTTTGTATTGAAAGATTTTCTTTCTTCTATATTTTCACCGCTCTCCACAGTTGTAAAATTGCCAATTAATATAAAATTTACTTTTAAACTACTATTTTCTTTGAATGCATTTTTTAAACGAGATTTTATTAGAGACTTTGAATCCTTTAAAAAGTTAAATAAATCTTTATGTTTCAAATTAATAACTGTGCCAGTTCTAATTCTATTCTCAAATGCTGTCTCTAAATTTT